CCAAGGGGCCCCCAAGACTCGCCCACGATTTTTTCTTCTCTATCAACGACATCAAGCAGCCGGCCAATGTCACACGAGGAGGGGCACCTGGGCGTCGCAGTGGACGCCCAGGCAGGGCCACCCTTCGGTGCCCCGCCGCACGGGCGGCGGGCGAGCCCGACCGAACGAGCGAGGAAAACCCGCAGCGGTAGTCGGGACACTGAGGACCTTCAGCAGTACACACAGCAACCCCGACTGCCGCGGCGCCGCCGCAGTGGCGGGACCAAGGGCCCCGTGAAGGGCCCAAGAGGCTTCCAAGAGGCCCCAGGAGGGGCCAAGACGGGGAGCTCGAACGGCCATGTGGAACCTTCCGCCCAGTGGTGGCCCCGGAGACGACCAGCAGGCGAAATGAGAGGGGGTGGCCGTCTCAAAGGCGGCGGCGCTTCTCGGCAGCCCTCTGGCCTTCTGAGAAGCCCTCTGCGGCTTCGAAGGAGGCCAGGAAAGACTTGTCGGAAGGCTGGCGGCCTCCTGAGCCTTCTGAAAAGACCCGCCCCCTCTGCCGCGTCCCCCCCCAGGCGCACCGCCGAATGACGACACGACCGCGCCGCCACCACTTGCAGGCACAGCCACCGAGACGGGCGCGCACCCCCGACATCCTCTCGTTGTGACAAGATCACGGCGGGAAACTTGGGCCACTTCCAGCCTGGCCATCGCCCGGCCTCAGAACCGTCAAAAAACTACTCGGGATGAAAAGCAGTCAAGCAGTCCCAGGGAGGGGAGTCTAGACCTGTGGGGGTCCACGTGCGAAAAAAACACGACGTCGGAGGTCTAGGATGGCAGGCTTGTGTCGTGAAGACCCCGGCGCCGGTTTCTGACACAACGTGGACAGGCAGGCCAACCTTCAGCGATCGACGGCGCCTCGATCGCCACACCGCTCCACACTGGCCGACTCTGGGCCACGCGGCGCTCAGCATCGAACGCCCGCGGCGGCATCGCCGCCGCGTCGGCGCGACGCGAACCTGCCGCGCCAGGAGGAGCTCCAAGCGAGGAGGAGCGCGAGAGGACTTCTCGCGGCCACGGCGGGCCTCGGCAACGCGAGCGGGCCCCCCGGCGCAGATCTGATGCGAGCGGCCAGAGGAACAGGGTGACGAGACCTCCTGCGCATGTCCACTGCTACCGTTGGCGGCGCGCACAAGGGGGTGGAGGGAGTGGGGAGGGCATCTTGGAAGGAGGCGGCTTCCCAGAAGGCGCCGGCCTTACATCTATAGATAAGGCCCGCGCCTTCTGAGAAGCAGGGGTGCCTCTAAGAAGCCCTCCCCCCTCACCCCACCCCCCTCTGCGCGTGGCTGATCCTAGCCAGGCCCATCCTGGGCCCAGGAGCGGTACATATATATATATATATATATATATGTGTGTGTGTGTGTGTGTATATACACACACATACAAATATATAGATAACATAGATATATATAGATAGATGCCTCCCTCGCCAAGCCAGGAGGGCGTACAACACAGCTCCTGGGCCCAGGATGGGCCTGGCCAGGAGCAGCGGACATGTATAGATCTCGTCGCTCAAAAAAACGGAGCCCATCCTCAGCCCAAAGTGGTCCTTCTTCCAACGGCCTGACTGCGGGAAGCCGACGGCCGTCTCGGAAATCGAAGACCTCAGCGAACGACTGAGCCGGCGGCGCATTGCAAGATGTGGACGTCTGGGAGATTGTGCCCTCTGTAAGCCCACCTGAATAGCATCGGTAGTGGGAAATAGGTCCATGGAGACAGAGGTTGATGGGGGGAGAATTCAGCATGAAGGAAGCCCAGACCTCCACAATACTGAGGAAACAATGCGGATGTCTGCTCACCGCTTTCGGCCTCTCGGGGCCCTTGCCGGGCCCGCACCCGCCCCCGGGGCGGCATGGTACAGCAAGACCAAGAGAGAAAGAAATGTGCTATGCATGCTAAGGGCATGGGGCGGGAGTTCCACCAGCACATACAACCACGACACCGCAGCAACTGACTCTTACCCATACCCCTGCTCTTGCGCCTCGAAGACATCCCCTCACGCTGCATGGTCGGGGCAGAAACACTGGTAAAAGAAGCGGACGACGACGATGACGAGGAGGAGAAGGCGGAGGAGGGGTAAAAGGAGGATAAGGGGCGACCGAGAAGGAGGAGGAGACGGGCACTGTTAGTACGGGTTGAGTACGCGGCCGAATACTGAATCTCGAGGGCTCGGGAAAGCACCAGCAGGGCGCCAAAGTATGGGCCTGCCAGCGGCTCCTCAGCGCTACGACCTGCGTGACAAGAGCTCGCGGAGTAAACTGTGACTAACTCGCGCGAATTAGCGGGGCACCGACAAGAGGGGGACATGACACGACTCTCGGGCTGGAAGAGAGGGAGACAGGAAGAAGGAGCCCGAGTCCGGGTCGGTGAGACCTGCCGACAGGAGCTGTTGCTTTCAGCATCCGCCCGCCAGCCAGGGGAAGGGGCGCTCAATTCGAACTACCATACACCCGACGAAGAC